AACAGCTCAGGTGTGGTTTAGCTATTTTTTTTTTGAGACAGAGCCTCAAGCTGGCTATTTTTTGGTTGCAGCCGTCATTGTTGTTTGGCGGGTCCGGGCTGGATTCGAACCTGCCACCTTAGGTGTATGTGGCTGGCACCTTAGCCACTTGAGCCACAGGTGTCCAGCTGGTTTAGCTATTTTTTAAAAAATTGTTTTTATTGCCTTGGTGCCCATAGCATAGTGGTTATGGTGCCAGCCACATACACTGAGGGTGGAGGGTTTGAACCCAGCCCTGGCCAGCCAAACAGTAATAACTGCAACAAAAAATAGCTGGGCATTGTGGTGGGTGCCTGTAGTCCCAGCTATTCAGGAGGCTGAGGCAAGAGAATTGCTTGAGCCCAAGAGTTTGAGGTTGCTGTGAGCTGGGATGCCACAGCACTCTAAGGGCGACACAGTGAGATTCTGTGTCAAAAGGAAAAAAAAAAGTTTTATTTATTTATTTTTTTGAGACAGAGTTGCCTTTGGTAGAGTGCCGTGGCGTCATAGCTCACAGCAACCTTCAACTCTGGGGCTCAAGCAATTATCTTGCTCAGTCTCCCAAGTAGCTGGGACTATAGGTGCCTGGCACAATGCCTGGCTATTTTATTTTTAGAGATGAGCTCGAGCTTTTGCTCAGGTTGGTCTTGAATACATGAGCTCAAGCAATCCACCAGAGTGCTATGATTATAGGCATGATCCACTGCACCTGGCCTTGGTCTAGGTAGTTATAATTTTTCCCTTCTTATCAAGATGCTTGATACTAAAAAGTACTGTTAGGAAGCTCAAATGCTTTCAAACATAGAACTTACTTGTTTTGGTTGAGAAGTATTACTATGAAAAAGGTGAGTTTGTTGGCTGTTACTTCTTATGCTCTGACTGGCTTTAGAGACAATAGTCAGCTGAATTATCAAGGAACTATGATCTATTCCAAGTTCCAAGGTTTTCTTTTGCCTAGGCTATGTGACCATGAGCAGGTCTTTAACTTCACTGGGCTCAGACTCCTTAGTGACTGAATGAGGTCACCACCTCCCTGTCAGGTAGTACATGTTAAACATTTAGAACTCCTGAGCTTAAGGCCAATTGCTACTGGGATTATATTCATTTATAATTAAGCAACTCTAAGCAGATCAGGTACAAGATTTTTCTGTTTTTTTTTTAGACAGTCTTGCTCTGTTGACTTGGTAGAATGTAGTGGAGTCATCGTAACTCACTGTAACCTTAACCTCCTGAGCTTAAGGGATCCTCCTGCCTTAGTCTTTCGAGTAGCTGGAACTATGGTGTGCACCATGACATCCGGTTAATTTTTCTCTTTTTAGTAGAGAAGGCTTCCAGGTTTCAGGGTGTGAAAACCTGCTGAAATATCAGTAAGACAAATCTATATATTTCTATAAAGACAAATGTCTCTGAAGTAAAACAAATCTACCATAGGAGAAATGTTTTTTAGATTCCCTAGTTGTAAAAAGTAATTTGACCTTTTCTCCCTACACAAATCCCTGAGACTTTAAAAGGATAAAGATACCAGTTTGGAGCTCTTTCAAGGATTTATTTGCTATAGAAATGCTTTAGCCCACCAATGAGATGAACTCAGGATTTCTGTGTTTAAAAGTTATTTTGTTATTTTTACAAGTGCTGCAACATTCAAAAGCAATTCTTTTTGCCAGCATTTGGCATGTTTATAAGAGGTTAGAAAAAGTATCTATAGAATTAGATGTCTAAAAATAGAAAAAAAACCCCACTTTTAAAATTCCTCATTTGGATGGGTCCTGAGTTGAAATCACATTCATCTCCAAAAAGAACTGTTTCAGGCCTGAAATGTATTTTATAACCACAGATCCTGACCTTGGACTTGACTAGTGAAGATTCCCAGGCACTGGATGGATGACAGGATAGACATCATTCACTTGGCCAATTCTGGCATGTGCCCTACCTGCATGTAACAATTTTATAAATATCTCTTAAACCTAAACTGAAATTGATTGTCTTAATCTGCTTCCCAACACTTTTTAAAACAAAGAAACAAAAATTTTCCCTGCAAGATAACATGTTTAAATATTCATTACCTGTGGACAGATACAGAGAAACCAAATACAAATGTGGATTAACAATTCAGTGATGTACTGTGAATCTCTGGATGGCTATGTAAGCTGAGAGAAAGTCTCTTTTGGCTCTGCACTTGCCACCAGAGGTGACCGTCCAGACAGCATCAACCTGAAGAGGGTGTGAACCCCAGCAGCTGCTCGATGGGCTTAAACCGCCATTCGTCGGCCTCTAGCTCTTCTACCAAACCAGCTAGTTTTTCCATCCGAGCAACTTGTTGATCTGTAAAGAGCCAAGGAGGTAATATAATACAACAGTGTATTCCCCAGGAGACTACTTCCAAGCACCAAAATGTGGTTGGTTTAAAAATAACTTCTGCCTAATAAATGCAAACACTGTAACCTAGTTGTACCCTCATTAATCTGAAATAAAAAATAAATAAATAAAAATTATGAACTAGAAAAAAACCCGTAAATAATTTCTAGGTAGATTTTCCCTTACTACTTTTATAATGGAGTCTTATTCTACGTTGGTCAGAAGCTTAATCTTTAAAAGAAAAGGAACACTCCCAATCATTCTCTATTCATCTTCATTGCTTTTTACTGCACAGCTGAAAGCTGAAACTTTCTAGATAAAAATATTTACTTCATCATTCTGGGCATTTTTCTTTTCTTTTTTTTCCAGGATAGCAGAAATTTTATTTAGGAAGAATAAAGAGCAAGTTTAGGGTACTTCCAAAGAGAGTTGGAAGTGGGTCCCTCTCATGAAGGAGAAAAGGTGAAAGAGACCCATTCTGAATATTTTTTTTTTTTGAGACAGAGCCTCAAGCTGTCCCCCTGGGTAGAGTGTCGTGGCATCACAGCTCACAGCAACCTCCAACTTCTGGGCTCAAGTGAGTCTCCTGCCTCTGCTCCCAAGTAGCTGGGACCACAGGCACCCACCACAATGCCTGGCTATGTTTTTTTTTTGGTTGCAGTGATCATTGTTGTTTGGTGGGCCCGGGCGGGATTCGAACCTGGTGTATGTGGCTGGCGCCTTAGCCACTTGAGCCACAGGCGCTGAGCCCAGAACCAACTTTTATAGTCAACTTTAAGCCTCAGTGTGGACATTATGACTAGATTAAGTCCTCTCAGAACATTATTTAATTTTAGGAAATCCACTTAAATAGGCTTGCTGAGTTGGGTATTTTTGTCATAGCTTGTTGACCTTTTGGAATCTTCCTCTTCTTTCCCCTCCCCTAGTAAATTTATTCTCACAGTTAGGACAAACACCCACGTGCTTACCATGTTTCACCTGTTTAAGTGTGGATGCCACTTGATAGCTGAAAACAGATTCGCAGAGGAATCTCTCAGAGCCATCTACAAACAAAAGGGGAAAAGGTTTAAATTTGCTCTGAGGGTTTTATGGCTTTTGATAAACCAAGTAAACTTGTCCATTCTTGTTTCTGCTTTTACATTCAGAGTCTAGTTTTCAGTGTTCACAAAGAGTGCTTCTGTTTCATTTAAAATGAACACTACTCCATTATAAAAGCTATTTCTTCTAGCTTTTTATTTCTTCTACCTAGAATAGTTCCTCTACTTGTTTAAAAGTTCAAAAATAGTATTAAAAAAAACAAAAACAAGAAACCTCAGTCCAATGTCACAGTCAACATTTTCCCACTTCTAACCTGACAGTTTCTTTCTCTCTTTTTTTTTTTT